GGGGGGTGGGGGGTTGGTGGCCTCAGGGTGGGGACACGGCTGGTCCCATTAAACGTGTCACTTGTGTGTCAACGGGATCTGTGTGGCCTCAGGCATCCGTGTGTCCCCCAAGTGCGTGTCACCGGGATGCGTGTCCTCAGGTGTCCATGTGTCCCCCCCCAAGTGTGTGTCACCAAGATGTGTCCCTTCAGGTGTCCATGTGTGTCCCCCCCCCCCAAGTGTGAGTGTGTCCCCTGGGTGTCTGTGTGTCCCCAAGCGTGTGTCACTGGGATGCGTGTCCTCAGGTGTCCATGTGTCCCACCAAGTGTGTGTCACTGGGATGGGTGTCCTCAGGTGTCCATGTGTGTCCCCCCCAAGTGTGTGTCACCAGGATGTGTCCCCTCAAGTGTCCATGTGTCCCACCAAGTGCGTGTCACTGGGATGGGTGTCCTCAGGTGTCCATGTGTGTCCCCCCAAGCGTGTATCACCAGGATATGTCCCCTCAGGTGTCCATGTGTGTCCCCCTCAAGCGTGTGTCACCAGGATGTCCCCCCTCAGGTGTCCATGTGTCCCCACCGTGCGTGTCCCTTGGGTCTCCTTATGTCCCCAAGCACGTGTCACTGGGATGTGTCACCAGGACATGTCCCACCTTCGGTGTCTGTGTGTCCCCAGGATGGGTCTCCTCATGTGTTTGTGTGTCCCCAAGTGCTGTTGCTGGGACATGTGTCACCACAAGTGTGTGTCACCGGGATGTGCATCTTCACGAGCCGATGTGTCCTCTCAGATGTCCATGTGTGTGTGTCCCAGGCACGTGTCACCATGATGTGTGGCCCCAGGATATGTGGCCCTTGGGTGTCTGTGTGTCCCCAAGCACGTGTCACTGGGATGTGTGCCCTCAGGTGTCTCTGTGTCCCACCAAGAACATGTCACTAGGATGTGTCCCCTCAAGTGCGTGTCACCATGATGTGTGTCCTTCAATGTCCACGTGTCCCCTCAGGTGTCCATGTGTGTCCCCAAGCATGTGTTTCCCAGGATGTATGTCACTGGGTCTCCGTGTGTCACCAGGACATGTGTCCCCACCAACCACATGTCCTCAGGTGTCCGTGTGTCCCCAAGTGTGTCGCTGGGATGTGTGGTCTTCAGGCTTCCATGTGTCCCCAGGATGTGTGTCTTCAAGTGTCCCTGTCCCCCAGGATGCGTATCCTTGGGTGTCCCCAACCACATGTCACTGGGACGTATGTCCTCAGGTGTCCATGTGTCCCCAACCACGGTCCTTGGGTGTCTGTGTGTCTCCAACCACGTCCCCATGATGTGTGTCCTCAAGTGTCCATGTGTGTCCCCAAGCATGTGTGACCATGATAGGTGTCTTCAAGTGTCCCTGTCCCCAGAATGTGTGTCCTTGGGCATCCCTGTGTCCCCCCTTCCAAGCATGTGTCACCAGGATGTGTCCCTGAACTCTGTCCCCACATGTTGGTGTGTCCCCAAGCGTGGTGTCCCACCCCTGTCCCCACCAGGAGAGTGGAGGGAAGTGGGTGGCCCTGGGGGAGGAGACACCACCCCAGAGACCCCAAGACATGTGGCACCAGGGGATGCTAAGTGACAGAAAAGAGCTGGTTTAACCCCAAAATGCCCACAGACACCCCCACCCCGAGCTGGTTCACCCCAAAACCCCGTCTGGGGGCTCACAGGGAGCAAGAGGGGACAGACCCCAAAGCCATCGTGTCCCCACCGGTGCCACCATCATGTCCCCCCTGAGAAGCCAAACCTTCTCCAGGGGCAGGAGCCGGTGTGGATTATTATTTTTTTTTGTTGGGTCATTTTTTTATCTTTTATTTTTTATTTTTTTGGTAATTTTTTTTTTTACATAAAAAGTTCCGTAAAAATTGGATAAAGTAAAATGATTTAAAGCAGTAAAATCAATCTTATCAACAACGGCGCGAGGCCCTGCCAGAAACCCCCGGGGGCGGCCCCGCTCCCCAATATTTACATGAAAACAACGAAAAAACAAACAAACAAACAAACAAAAAAAAAATCAAAAAAACAGATTAAACCTCGCAGAACCGAAAAAAAAAAAAAAATTAAAATTAAAAATAAAATAATAAAAACCAAGGAAACAATCCGAAAGGAAAAAAAAAACAAAAAACAAAACAAACCAAAAAAAATAACCCCGAAACTATCGTTACAAAGTGTTCCCGTGGTGTTTTGGGCTAAAAGGAACCAAAAAAAAACAAAATAAAAAGGAAAATTATCAATATATTCACATACAGGTTAAAATATAATACAGAGGTTGGTGGCGCGTGGGGCGCGGAGGCCCCGGCTGCAGGACCCTCCTGGCGCCGTCGGGGGGAAAAGGGGGGGTGAAGTTTTATTTTCTCTATTTTTTTTTTTCTTTAAAAATAATAATAATAATAAATTCACAGGTTGGTGGTTGCAAACGGCGAATCCTGGCAGAACGGGGCGTTTCTTCCGAGGTCGGGCTGCGGGGGGCGTCGCTGGGGCGGTGGAGGAGGTGGAGGAGGTGGTGGGCACGGTGGTGGAGATGGTGGTGACGATGAAGACGGTGGTGGAGATGGGGGTAGAGATGGCGGAGATGATGGTAGAGATGATAGAGATGGTGGTGATGACGAAGATGGTGGTGGAGATGATGGAGATGGTGGTGGAGATGATGGAGATGGTGGTGGAGATGGTGGTGATGACGAACATGGTGGTGGAGATGGTGGTGATGACGAACATGGTGGTGGAGATGATGGAGATGGTGGTAGAGATGATAGAGATGGTGGTGATGACGAAGATGGTGGTGGAGATGATGGAGATGGTGGTAAAGATGATGGTGGAGATGATGGAGATGGTGGTAGAGATGGCGGAGATGGTGGTGGACATGGTGGTGGACATGGTGGTGGCAGCGGACGTGGTGGTAGAGATGGTGGTGGTTACTCCAGCTCCGTGTCCTCTTTGGGTTTGTAGATGGCCCCGAATTTCTGCATGTATTTCTTGATGTACTCCTTCGTCTTGTGTTTGACGTTCTCGTTGCACTCCAGGTCCTCTGGGTTCTTGCAGTATTTTAGCTCCTTGTTCATGACGCCGTGAGTCAACTGCAGGGGGGGGGGAGGGAACACCCACCGTTATTCCCAGCATTCCCAGTTCAACCCAGTCTTGGGGATTCCCTGAGTTATTTTGCTGTTATTCCCCAAATATTCCCTATTATTCCCAAATATTGGCTAATATTTCCCAAATATTTGCTATTATTCCCCAAATATTGGCTGTTACTCCCCAATATTGCTTCTGATTCCCCAAATATTCCTTATTATTCCCAAATATTGACTAATACTCCCAAAACATTGGCTAATATGCCCCAAATATTCCCTATTATTCCCAAATATTGGCTAATATTTCCCAAATATTGGCTATTATTACCCAAATATTGGCTGTTATTCCCCAATATTGCTTCTGATTCCCCAAATATTCCTTATTATTCCCAAATATTGACAATATTCCCAAAACATTGGCTAATATGCCCCAAATATTCCCTATTATTCCCAAATATTGGCTAATACTCCCCTAAATATTTGCTAATATTCCCAAATATTGACTAATATTCCCAAAACATTGGCTAATATGCCCCAAATATTCCCTATTATTCCCAAATATTGGCTAATACTCCCTAAATATTTGCTAATATTCCCAAATATTGGCTAATATTTCCCAAATATTTGCTGTTATTCCCCAAATATTTCTTATTATTCTTAAATATTGGCTAATATTCCTCAAGTATTCCATAATATTCCCAAATATTCCCTATTATTTACAAACATTGGCTGTTATTCCCCAAATACTTGCTAATATTCCCCAAATACTTGCTAATATTCCCCAATATTGGCTATTATCCCCCAATATTGGCTATTATCCCCCCGATACTGCTCCTTTCCCTCCCTCGTTGCCCAGAGGGGCCGATGCCACCCCCTTGTCCCCCCCCCGGGGGGATGTCCCCACGGTGCTGTCACCTTCCGTGCCAGGTGTTTGAAGTCCTCGGTGGTGGTGATACGTCCCACCTTGCAGTCGGGCTTGCGGTAGGGGTTCAGGCACTGCACGATGAACTGTGACATCTGCAGAAGAAGACACCTGCATGTGGCCTTGTCCCCAACCCCAGGGTGACGTGTCCCCAGGGTGGAATGTCCCCAAGGAACCCCCGCGCCCAACCAGGGGTCTCCATCCCAACGTCTTCCCCAACCCAGTGGCCACCTTGATGTCCCCAAGCCCATGGTGGTGTCCCACCCCAGTGTCACACCACCGACGTGGGATGGTGAACCCCCCTCCACTGTCCACCTGGGACATGTCACCGGGGTGGGACGGTGACAACCCCCCCAGAGACTCACTTCTTTCCTGAACACCTCCTTGCTCTTCTTGGCCAACTCGCTGGACGTGTCCGCTTCCGCCGTCTTGGCCTTCTTGGAAGACTGGGAGAGGGGACAACCATGTCATTGGGGTGAGCGGGGCCCTACCTGTCCCCAGCCCATCCCTGTCCCCACCTTGGGGACAGTGCTCCAGCCACCCCACAGCCAGGTGGGCACCACAAGCTTCCCAGTCTACTCACGGTGAGCTTCCCAACCTGCTCCCAGTGAGCTTCCCAACCTGCTCCCAGTAAGCTTCCCAGCCCATTCCCAGTTTGGTCCCAGTGCACTTCCCAGCCTGATGCCACCACGCTCTCCATCCCAGTCCAGCCGTGCTTCCCAGCCACATCCCAGTAAGCTTCCCAGCCCAGTGCTGGTGCACTCCCCAGTCCAATCCTGGCAGTCCCAGTGAGCTTCCCAGCCCACTACTGGCATGCTCCTCACCCCAGTCCAGGCACGCTTCCCAGTCTGGTCCCAGTACACTTCCCAGCCCATCACGATGAGCTTCCCACCCCAGTCCAGGCACGCTTCCCAGTCTGGTCCCAATGATTTTCCCAGTCCAGTACTGGTACGCTCCCCAGTTTGATCCTGGCACACCTCCTGGCCCAGTCCCAGTGCGCTTCCCAGCCCAATTCCAGAGCATTTCCCAGTCTGATCCCAGCCCCATTCTGGAGCATCTCCCAAGCTGGTTCCAGCCCAGTTCTGGAGCACTTCCCAGCCCAATTCCGGAACGATTCCTAGTCTTTATTGGAAGGATAAAGTGAATTTTATAGGAATTTCTGGCTGAGTCATCCCGACTCAGATTTCCAAGAGGGAAAGAGCAAAAGGGGCTCGTTAAATAGTGGCTTCCAAAAGCCCAGGGAGATTTGCCACCTTGTGCTCTCTGAAAGGCGGCATCCTATTTCTTTGAATTAAAAAAAAATAAATAAAATCCTATTTTTTTTAAGTATCTCGCACCGAAAAAAAGCAGGAATCGTCCCATTTTTTTTTTTTCCCCCAACCCCCTGGATGAGGCTGCAAAACGCCGTGGGGCTTAAAGGCTGGTTTATGGCCGAGGGCTGTCCCCGAGCCAGAGCACATCAAAGCCAGCCCCCCCTTCCCCTGTCTGTCCCCCCCCCAGAGCCAGAAGGATGGGTTGGGAGAAGCCCGCGCTTCTCCGAACTTACTCCAAAGTAAAAAGGAGTGAAAATTCAAACGTAAAGAAATGAAATGCAAAAAAAAAATAAAGTCCTGGGATGAAATCAGTCCTGGGAAGAAAAATCGGTGCCAAAAATTGGGGGGAGGAGAGAGGAGCATCAGGAAGAGACACAGGGACTGTATTTCTAAGCTACTGCTTGTGGGAAGGTGCTGATTTCTCCTCCTGCTGAAATTAGTCTTTATTTTAACGTGAAAACCTCCTTATCCAGAGGTTTTAGTCTCCCTTGAGGTGAACATGGCGCTTCCCCCCGGATCCTCTCCAAAAGCACTCCCCTAATCCCAAGCCAGGAAAACTTTAAAGCAGGAAAAGCTCCCCCCAAAACTATCACAAATTCACATTTATCACATAAATCCCACATATTCCCATTTATCACATCAATCCCACATATTCCCATTTATCAGCCTCCCTCCTTTATGCAAAAACCTCTCCAGAGAAGAGGTGGGGATGGAGAAACCAGGAAAGATGGGAAAACCAGTCTGGGATGGGGTGGGATGAGCCAAATGAGCTGGGAATTCCGGAGGAGCCCCAGTAGGATGTTCCTCTCCAGGAGGGGAAAAGAAAGGGGAAAAGGGGTGATGGTGACCATCCCACACGGGTGGTGGGACACCACCATGGGGGTGGGACACCACCACGGGCTTGGGGACATCAAGGTGGCCACTGGGTTGGATCCCATGGGATGGAGACCCCCGGTTGGGTGCGGGGGTTCCTTGGGGACATTCCACCCTGGGGACACGTCACCCTGGGGTGGAAGACGTTGGGATGGAGACCCCTGGTTGGGCGCGGGGGTTCCTTGGGGACATTCCACCCTGGGGACACGTCACCCTGGGGTTGGGGACAAGGCCACATGCAGGTGTCCTTCCTCCAAAGGGGAAAAGAAGAAAAAAAAAGGTTTTAAAATGTGATTTAAAGGGGAAAATCGAGCCCTGGCTTCACGTGCCTCTTGTGCCTTTCCATCAAAATCCCCAGCCCCGGGGGGAGCTCGATCCCCACCCCCCGGAGCAGATGATGCTTGAAGAGCGTTGAACACGTTCCGGAGGAAATCAAATACCCTGGTGGCCACTGTGGCAAGTGGTTTGGTTGGAAGGAGACACCAGGAATAGCAGCAGCAGCCACCACGGGCTTGGGGACATCAAGGTGGCCACTGGGTTGGGGAAGACGTTGGGATGGAGACCCCTGGTTGGGCGCGGGGGTTCCTTGGGGACATTCCACCCTGGGGACACGTCACCCTGGGGTTGGGGACAAGGCCACATGCAGGTGTCCTTCCTCCAAAGGGGAAAAGAAGAAAAAAAAAGGTTTTAAAATGTGATTTAAAGGGGAAAATCGAGCCCTGGCTTCACGTGCCTCTTGTGCCTTTCCATCAAAATCCCCAGCCCCGGGG